GCTTCTCCTGCCTCTCTTCAAGACAGACAGGGGGCATTAATGTGCCTCCTCTTGCTTCTTGGGAATGAGGACACACCCAGGAAGTAAACTCCCAGCCTGGCTCCTTCCTGGTTCCCAGGTCCCTGCAAGCTGCCTGATGCACTAATATAATGTCCATTTGCTCAAAGTGTAGTCCATATGAACAAAAGATGCATAGTGGTGAAACTGGGCCACCACACACCCTTCACACATAAAAAGAGCTTTTGTTGTGTTACACAAGCCATGAATGCACTTAATGAGGCACACTTAAAAAAGATAGTCACCCAAGGTTGACATCCAGAATCATCTGATGGCATAAAATGCATCATAAAATGTAATTAGAAAATAGCATTACTGAAATGATTATCAAGACTTTCCTGTGTCCTGTTTGGAGGGAGTCATTTCCTGCACAATCCTTTGACTTCTTGAATGATAGTACTTTCCTTTTTCAGATTATGAAAGAAGATACAGTAGGAAACCATCATTCACTCCCCTCCTGCCCATAGTCTGGGATAAACTTGAATTCTGACTTGACAATGAAGGGCCACCCATATGGTTTACAGAATACTTCCATACACACAATCCCACTTATTCTAAGGGAAACTATCATAGTCCCCATTGAAAAGAGAAGTAAGGAGAAGTGAAAGGGTGTGTGAAAATGTCCCAGAGCAGTGATCAGAAGACCATGTGGGCCATCGCCTCCTACTCTGTCTATAGTTTGGACCAACCACGTTCCTTCCTGAGTTGTGAGTCAGGCTGATGATTAATTGGTATCACCAGGGATGCAGCAAAACTGGTGCCTGCCTTGCTTGACAGCCAGCCAGCCCATCCCAACCACCATTTATCATGAATGCTCTCCAAATGGACCAGCAGCTTTTAAAAAGGGTTTTATTGCACTTCATATATTTTCTGAGGGGAGGAAGCATGACACAATGTGTATGTGGAAGTCAGATGAGAATTTTCAGGAGTATCTTTTCTCCATCCACAACATGATTCTAGGGATCAAACCCAGGTTATCATAGTTGGCAGCAAGTGCCTTTAACCACTGAGCCACCTTGCCAGCCCCACCAGACTCTTTGTTCTAGAGATGCATTCTTTCTTTCTTATACCCACTGGTTATCCACTTTTTCTTCCTTCCGTATGGTTCATATTTTTCTTCCAACAAAGGATCACACACACACATACACTCCTCTCTGAGATATACTTACAAATCATGCTCTAATTGCCCACTGAACTTATTACCAACACTGACAAAGCTTTCTCTATACTCAAAGCCAAATCTAAGGCTCTATCCTTGGAACAGAGTCAAGGAGGGTAACAGGTAGAAGCCCCATTATGAAAGCTATGTTCTCATTTCTTCTGCACTAAAAACTACCGGAATGCTAACACAGAGCCTTGCCATGATGAAGATATGCAATGACATCCCTTTGATGGTTTTAATGTTACTTCAGATACTTTTTCCTACCCATAACTTCTAATGGGCTACCTGGTGTTAGGCTTGCTGTTGCTGTGTGGTGGAAAGACTGACTAAGAAGATCAGAAAGGAGGAGAGGGATATGGGTAGCACAGAAGAGCAGTTCCATGAAGAAATTATGCGAGGTGTTTTACCATTGTTACTTGCTAGAGAAGAAACCCCACATTCTGACTAGTTAACATTGCTTGTATTCTGGGAAAACAGAAGTGTTCTGATCTTAATTTTCACAGAAGGACCCCATAAATCCTATTTCTAAAGGTTTGGACCAGGTGTGTTGCATGTGCCTGTAATCCTTGCATCCAAGGAGCTGAGGCAGAGGGTCTGCAAGTTTAAAGCCATCCTGGACTACATAATGAATCCTGGCCAGCCTGAACTATACTGTGAGCCTCTGTTGTTTCCCCCATCTCCATACCACCCCCCCAAAAAAATCTTGTTTTGATTACTAAAATTCATTTAATGTAAAGCAGAATTATCATGGGTTTCCATAAGAATGTACCCTAAGGTAGTCATCGATTTACAACTACTTCAAAAAGTAAAACAAACCAAAAAAAAAAAAAAAAAAAAAAAAAAAAAAACCAAAAAAAAAAAAAAAAAAAAGATAAACAAAGCCAATCCTATCAGCCTCTTTTTTGAAAAGGAAGAAAAAAGGCTATGAGTCACTTCACACCTGTCCCAAAAACTCTTCAAATGTTGACATTCCTGACATTTTGGTCTCCTCAAATGAGCATAGAGCTGGGGATGGGGCTCAGTGGTCAGGCGCTTGTGAGTGGGACTCAGCGGTCAGGCAAGTCAGTGGTCAGGCACTTGTGGATGGAGTCAGTGGTCAGGCACTTGTGGATGGAATATGCACAAAGCCCTAGGCCCAATCTCCAGCAGAGTGACTACCTAGCCCAGGCTATGTATGAATAGTATTTAATGTGCAAATGCTATTTTCCTCAGAAAAATCCACTCTCAGGGTTCGTGACCCGAGACATTTTCCCTATACATAAGGCCTTTGATTTTGACGAAGAAAATCTGTGTCCACTGCAGTTGTGAACCTATAGCAGACTAAAGGGATACGAATTTGCCATGTCAACAGAAGTAAAGGCCAGCAGAAATATGGAAACACAATGGGATAATCACACGGATGCAAGACATAGCTCTGAAAATTACATATTGTTTTCAAAAGGAAGAAACAACCTCTCCAGTAAATTTGATAATCATCCACTCAATCAAGCGATTAGACTTAACATTACCAGTGAACATCCAGATGTGTGTAATACAAAGCACACAGCATTATCTATGGAGTACTCCCCAGATGTATGCAATACTAAACACACAGCATTGTCTATGAAGTACTCTAAACTCAAGTGGTCTGTCTGAGTTTATAGTCACCCCAAGGAAATGATCAGGGAAGACTAGAATGTGAGCATTCTACATGTCAACTAGCATTGTGTCCCCCAAAAAAGTCTAACACACACATACACACACACACACACACACACACACACACACACCACAACACACACACAGAGGTTAGGATGTTGTTCTGCATTGTGAAAGTTACAATGGCAAATAGCCAAATGTTATTATATTAATAAGTGGCTTTGGGGAAATCCTGGTTTTAGCACTAGTAATGATAAAGGAATTTGGGCGGCAATTGAAATTTGAATCTGGAAAGGTGTTTGGTGATATTAGGTAACAGTTCTTGGCTTTCTTAGCATATGCATGCATCTGCCAGTATGGAATATAATGCATTTGTTTGTTTCTCTGTTTATTGGTAGTGCTGAAGAGCAAACCCAGGACATCTTCCATGAGACAAGTTCTCTACAGCTGAGCTATACTCAAATCCCAGAATACGCTCTTTTCTAGAAGAGGCATGCTGGGGCTTAATGGTGCCTACAGGTCCACAGTGGCTTCCAAAGAGCTTAACTTCTGACATCAGTGGGGGGCCACACATGGCTGATAAATATAGCAAAATGAACTTTTTGTTATTGTGTGAAACAGTATCTCACTGTGTAGCCCTGGTTACCCTAGCACTCACGATGTAGCCCAGAATGACCTTAAACTCACAGCAGTCCTCTTACCTCAACCTCCCAAGTGCTGGAATTACAGGTGTGAGCCACCATACACAGCTGATAAATGAGCAATCATTAAGTCTGGTGAATGGGCATATTGATATTTATTCTACTAGTGATTAAACTTTCCATGTTCCATGTTAGAAGACATGGTGGCATGGTAACTAGTCTCCTCTGTCCACAGGAAAAAACTGTGCTTACATTTAATGGCAAAATTAAGTTCTAAATGTTGCATTGGGTCAGTTACTGGAGACAACCCAAGGACAGTGGGTGGACTGAGGACAAAGTGTAGCCCTCCTACATTAGCTGTCTTTTCTACTCTCTTTGAAAACATCATTCACATATCAAATATTCTATCAACACATAGCTAAGAAGTTACTGAACATGTCTAGAGTTTGATGATTTACTGTTGAAGATTTTTATCATAAGAACCTTTATGCTAGCCAACTAGCCTAGACACTTGGGGAGTTCTAGGCCAACATTTAGGGTTGTCCTGTGGCCTACATAGGTGAACTCACACACACACACACACACACACACACACACACACACACACAGAGCTTTTAGGTGCTTTAGGTGGACTCCAGTAGAGAAACCGGAAAAGGGAGCACTAGGCTAGTGTGACACTGACCTTTTCCAGGGATTCAAGTTCACCTTTTAGTGCAATTTTAAAGGAGCAGTTACTACAGGGAGCCCCTGACCACCATCAAACTTGCTGCTAGGAAGTCAATTAGCCAAGTCCCTACCTGCCTGGCCTCCCATGGGCACTCTGAACTTTGCCCAAACACCCCTGTCCACTGATACTCTTAAACACAAGTCAAGGGACCAAATACCGCAGAGCCTGTATTCTTCAGGAGACAGTAACAAATTCTCATAAATTCTAGTCACTCAGGTCTTTAAAGAACAACAAAAACAACTTCGGATAAACCTGCTGGGGGGGGGGGTGCTGCCCCCAGACAGACATAACTTACTCATCTGCTGTTGTTCAGGCTTTGCTGGTGTTTGGGTGAGATGCAGGATGGAAGTGGACAATGCATGGGGTCTGGCTACCCCATTATCTGCTGTTGGAGATGAGAAAGAGGTGGCAAAGGAACACAGTAACTGCTGCTGAGCTCTCTTCCTTTCTGGTCTCTTCTGGGAAGGACAGCACTTAGAAGATAAACTTGATGAATTAGAGACTTCCCCAAGGTGGACAGCAAGAGGAAAAGGCTTTATCCTATCCTATTGTTGAGAGTTTGTATTGGGTAGGAAAAGACATGTGTGTCTGAAAACTAGTTCAAATAACTCTTTACCCCAAAGAGAAAACATATCACATGAAAAATAGAACTTGAAAGGAGTGAACCATAATGCTTAAAATATTTGAAAATACAAAAGACCATGTTCCTTTTTATTTGGAGAAGAAAAGGAATGTCTCTGTGAGCCAACTATCCCCAGAGAATATCAAGTCTTACCTAGGTACAAGGATGAGTTGTCTTTCTTGACGTTGTCATCTAAATAGGTTGGTCCCAGGGTGTAAATCGGTGTGGAGCCCATTCCAATGAGAACCTGTGCACAAACGAATAAAGCCACATAGACCCAGTGATTATTTCCTCCTGAGTCTTTGGGACAGGGAGGAGGCTCCAAGGTAGCCGTGGAGTTGCCATTCTGACAAAGGCCATCATTGGAGGCCGACGCATTCAACTCTTGGATTTGGTAGGGAGGTGAGATGAAGTGAGGTAAGGTGAAGAGCGCAGCCCCGACAGCTATAAGAAGTCCACCCACAGCCAGCCACAGAGGCCTTCGCCCACGGCCACCAAAGTAGCTGACGAACACAACAACCACCAGGTTCCCTATGTCAAAGCAGCTGACCAGCAGCCCGGACTCAGAACTCTTCAGGCTATAGCGCCTTTCAATGGTTGTGATGACACTGCTCAGGTACCCAGAGACCATTAACGCCTGGATGAAGGTCAGAAAACACATGCACACTAGGAAGCAGCGAGAATCGGTAAGGACCACATAGAGACACCTTCTCTCTTGGAGTGTGGCCAGAGTAGACGACACTGACATCGTTTTGCTGGGGTCCATCCTGTGGTTACAGTTCTGAACTGCCGCTGTAGTCCCTGCTGAAGTGGATGGGGCGGAAGGACTAGGGACTATCAGGTTCCGCCCTCCACACATCTGGTGACCCAAAGCTTCAGGGCAGCCCCAGGCCAGTTCGCCATCTGCATTCCCAGCACTGAGATTCTGCCGGCAGGAGGCGCTGTGCAGGACCGGTAAACTCTTAGACCTGAAGGTCTCTGACTCGCACTTCTGGACAGCTCCTACGGCCTCAGGTACCTCCAGCTGCTCTTGGCCCCGAGACTGCACTGCCCCTTCGTCCATGGCTCTTAAAATTTGATATCACATCCCATACAAGGCCTCCGGCACTTTTCATCCACCTGCACGAGGGACAGAAGCCGGGCCCACTCAGCTGTGCCCAATTGAGACCCGGGCTTCGTTATGGCACACCCGCTTAACGGAACATCTCATCAGCAGGGGGGTGCCCTGAGCATCCTGACCG